AATATAAAATTGCAAAATAATATCGAAAATTCTTCTGATAACAACGCGAATGATTTTTACAAATACCGAGGATATTTTTGAAACTGCAGAAAAAAGAAAATAGATTTTTCAAGTGGTATGATATGGATCGTTGCAGCATGGAAAAATATTTCATCTGTTACTGTAAAACAATGTTTTCAAAAGGCTAGATTTATGGAAGCAATCCAAGAAGATCAGACTTTTGAACAATATGATAACACTCCACTCTATACTACACAGAAAGTCTGTATGATGAAAAATATCTGTCAATCGATTTAGAAGTGTTACAAATGAACCCAAGTCTTGATTTCAACTAAATAATTTAGGAATTTGCTGACAAAAACTAAATTTGACCTTACTGCAGCTGAAACATATGAAAATACCAAGATGAACAAATTTTGCGTTCCTATTTTTATCAACTAACGGCAATTTGGTTATTGATGTTTCCTACATTTTAATGAAATGTGAAAATGAGGTCACAAAACCTAAAATAAAAAATTTACAGCAGACTTTAATCGAATTCCGAAGTAAAATAGTTAGTAACTATCATATTACTTTAAAAGGAAGGTATGGATGTGTAAGTATAAACGTGGTACATGTATAAATATTTTGTACATAATCCCTTAATGTGTATATAACTATAAAGCGGTGTAATATTATTCCGAAAATATTAGAATTCATATATATAAAATATTATAATTAATACTCGTGTAACATAGTTTCGCATTTTGTTTATATAAAATATGTTTAGTAATTTGAATCGAGGACATTCATAAATAATATACTCTAATTAGAATTTGTAAATCAGCACTATTGCCGTGCGCGACATATACTTGGTGTAGGTCAGGGAACAACTTGACACGAATAAGTAAAGTGCTGATATCTGCAAGGCCAGGGCTAATAAAAACGACAACAATCATTATTTGTACAGCAGAACTAATTTAACGTCAGATAGCAAGTTAATGTATCACGCATTGTCACAACGTCAACTAAGTAGGTACTATTAGATTTAAGATAATTAACATCAAAAGAGTGTACAGTAGTGCTTAAATAAATGGTTACCTAAGTCAACAATACATTATTTACTACGTACAAAATTATTTACCATAGCCGCAATCCCTTTAAACATCCAAAATTTTGACATTTTCATTGACCGGTATTAACGATTTTTTAGTAAAATTGTATGAAGAGTTGGAAACACCAAAAAGGTTATAGCTGAGGCAAGGAACAAGTAATCAAATGACTTGACTCACATGCTGCAGATTAAGAGTGTGGATGGAAGAGTGTTAAGATCCAATTGTGAAATAAAGCAAATATGTTATGAGTATTTCAGAAAGTTGCTAAATGAAGAACACCAGATGAAAGTCAAATATTGTGGGATCTCAAATTACAATTTAATACTAGAGATAACGCGAGATGAAGTTGTCGACGCTTTAAATAGGATGAAGAATGGTCAGGCTGTAGGACCTGATGGAATAATTTCTAAGGGCTACAGGAGGGAAAAGAGTTGATGTATTGTGGCAAATTATAAGTAGGATATATATAAGGAAGAAAGTATGCCCATTACATTTAGGGAGAACGCGAGGTACCACTTAAAGATAAAGGGGACATTCAGGACTGTAAGAACTATTGAGTAATATAACTAAAATAATAAATGCCAATACAACAATAAGTCTCTCAGAAATGTGTGCTGTTCTGTTATGTTCTGTTATCTTTATATTATTAAATAATAATATATCTATATTTTTATGTTGAATACTTCTCTGATATTTTGAGCAATCCAAATATTACACAAATAGAATAAGTGCTGCCATCTAGTTTTTAATAGTGCATCTATAACATATTGATTTTAGAGTGAGTAGAAAGACGAGTAGTTCGCTATCCTCATTAGTGTTTAATCGTTGATTAATCAACGGTTTAATATATAAAGCATTTGGAATCTTACAACATAACACACTAATTTAACAACTCGGTCCGCGGACTAGTTCAGAATTTTTAACAGCAATACAGGAATTCCACCCCCGAAGTTACCATCCAACTTTATATAATAAATGAGAAAATAACGTGGGTTACACGTTACAATTGTGACTAGTGAAATATTTTAAACAAATAACAGTCTTGCCTGCTATGATTTGTAGTGATGTTCTTTTCGTATTAAATAATTATATCTGTATTTTTATGTTGAATATTTCTTGGATAATTTCTTGGACAATTTAAATATTACAAAAATAGACTAAGTGGTGTCATCTAGTTTATAATAGTGCATATACAACATATCAAGTTAAGAGTGAGTAGAAAAACGAGTAGTTCGCTAGAACATTTTTAGCTTCCAATGTCGTGCGATAGATGGTAGCAATTATACAAATTATAGATAATTTCTTTAAATAATAAATTTCTACTTTCATTCATTGTATTTTTATATATTCTGAGAAAGAAAAAGTTAGTAGTTATTTAGGCAGTGCAATGACAATTTTGTCATCTGCATAGTGTAGCGTGTAGAGCTCCTATCGGTAGTCTCATTCCATTACTCTCTTCCACTGTCTCGGCTTCATCAGTATATTATATAGATACAGGGTGCTCCTTAAGTAATTGTACAAAAAGAAACAGTAGAGATTCTATACTTTCAAATATTACGATTTTAGTTAACTTGCTTAATAAAATGCTGATATTAGGAAAGATACAGGGTGTTAAAGTTAAAATTTAAAATTTTATTTTTCGCTATAACTTTCACCTTTCACGTTTGATATTTTTATATAAAAGTATATAATTGGGGTTTTTGAGTATGAAGAATTATCATTGTATGCATACTTTGATCTAGCTGGTGGAGGGCGCCACATAGGTTGCATAAAGTTGCGCTTAATTTTTTTGCTGTTCAGGTTAACGCTATTATGGTATCATGGCCACCTTCTTTGTATAGTTCAGATGGGAGATTATCTATTCCGGGTGATTTGTTGTTGGCTAGTTCTGGCTAATCATTTTTCACTATCTCATTTAACAAGTCAGTGAGTAGTGATATGTATTTGACACCACCAATAAAAATTGGAGGTGGTTTATTAAGTTTTTCAGGTCTAAGCTATCGAAACGATTTAACGTGACTATAGACGAGTTAAGCCAATAATCATTTATTTTTGTTTATTGTACTGCCCGATTATCAGGACTGCCACGATTTCTTTTTTTTTATTGTCTATAGTTTTACATTCGACAGTTTGAGACTGTTGTTGTGGATGAGGGAGGAGGTAAATGTTGTACTTGTAATTGTAGGTTAGGACAATATAAAACATTTATTACTGGTTGGGAAAAAATATAAATTATTAACTTGGTCTGGTCACAATATCACATAATTCAAGAACTGGTTGGGTTTGCTTTTTGTTCGTTTAAAAGTAAAGCGACAACTCTTTTTATTTTTATGTCGTAATAGACATACTCAAGGCGAAAAAGAGCAACTAACGGGTTCTAGATTGAACTTGGACATTCTACTCTCTTTCTGGTGACATTATAAATATGTTATATCTAGAGGCCATCGTATGTGCAGAAAGCAACAATCTTGGTGTTTATTTATATGAAAACTGGTTGTCTAACAGTAGTTTTCTTATATTCTATAAAATATGTGACTAGACAAAGATTATGCAGATGATTGCTAGGATGCTCTTGAGACTCAACCATCAAAGGCAGGTATTTCTAATAACATGTATTTCTAAATACACTGATAGCGTACGACAGTATCGCTAAGACTTCAGTATATTAAGTCGCAACTTTGCAAAGCTTTTGCGTAACTGGATTTTTTAACCCTCTGAATATTAAATAAGGTATAGTCCGTCTAGAAAGTATCCGGAATTTTATATTTTTCCTAATTTTAATAGATTTCCTTTTTATAACATTTTAAGGCAAAAGTAATGCATCAATTAGGTTGTGCCGATAGTAGGTTATGGACAAAATCGCATGACAACACCATCTGTCAAATATTGTTGTTTGTAAACAGACTTAAGATTTGTGAAATAATGTCACAAGAAGAAAAAAGAAAAGTGGTGGAATATTTGTATAGAAAGAGTATCTGAAACGTTAAAAAATTAGTGCAGTTGACTGAACTCGGAAAAAGTGCAGTTTATGAGACAATAAAAAGGATAAAAAATGGGATAGATATGAGACAGACCAGTTTCAGGTAAACCACGTAAGATTCGCGTAAACAATGCGAATTAAATGCTTTAGTGGCTTTAATCCAAAAACAATCTCCACAATGACACCTCTGCAAAGGCAACGAACGAAGAATAGATTTTTGTCAACGTTTTCGGGAAGATAATTTTAATAATCTTATAGTCTTTATATCTGATGAAAGTTGTTTCCAGCTTGGTGCAAATTATTTAAAAATCCTATCAAGAGAAAATGTTACCGTTCAAATTTCCAAATTTCCCACTGAAATAATGGTTTCGGGAACAATGTATCAGTGTGGTGCTACACCTTTCTGTATAGTTATGGTAATGTTGATATTGCGAAATATTGTGACATCCTAAATGGTTTTCTTTTTGAAACGGCCCATGCTTTCTATCTAGAGGGGTGGCGTTTTCAGCAAAATCATGCAAGATGTCATACTTCTGGTTATATTCAAGCTTGGATGCAAGAACACAAATTGGGAACAGTTCCGTGGACAGCAGCTTTTCCAGATCCATTAAAAACATATGGGTACTGATGAAAATTAAGTCGGACGAGCAGCGCCACGAGATAAAGAAGGTTTGATTAGGTCAGTTTTACAGGCCTGTAACACCATTACCGAAAATTGTGGCCTTGACCTAGTTTCGGGTGTACTAGGAGGTTTAGTTAAGTGTTTATATTTAAATGGAGGTTATATAAGTAAATGGGATGAATTATTTGTTAATTTTTTATATTTCAGATGATTGAAATAAATACCGTAAAATTATAACTCTGCTTTCTTTTTTCCGGATACTTTCTAGACGGACTATATAAACAGTTAAATAAAACGCATATCATTTAAATCATAGTTATATTCAACAACAGTAAATATAATGAATAAATACAGCCCTCTCCAAGTCTTACTATTACTATAACGAGTATAAAGTTATATCATATGGACTAGACAAAATAAAACTACTTACACAATATATAAAACTTTTGGTAACAATTTATATTTTAGATACAGTTGTAACAAGTCTACATGACTTTGTCATGACAATTTTATATAAAAACGCTGTTACATATCTCCCATTTTTTGTCGTACTTTTGCCAGAATTGTTTTTAATTCGGTACTCCTTACGGTCTGGTACTGAAAAAAAAAGTATATGATTATTAGTCAACTAGAGCTAGGGAGAAAGATCTATTTTTTTAATGTACTCTATCTCTCTTTGTTTGTCAAAAACATTTGTCAGATTATCATTAGATCAGATCAGATTATAGTTTATGGTTCACGTGTTGGTGGATATACTAAGTAGATATTGGTGAATATAAAATATGGACCACATATTTATGATTTTTAAATTATCGTTCTCTAACAAAAGATTTTAACTCTTAATAAGACAATGGGAACATATTTCCCATTTGGCTTTACCGCCAAATTTTGACTGTCGCTGTCAATATACAGAATGGTGAATTTTGTGAAATTAAGTATTTGTTTCATGGATAATAAATACACCAACTTTTATGACAGTTATTTGACAGATCTGATGTTTAGTTGACAATCGGCAATTAGATGTTAATACGTTATGATATTTCTTGCAGCTAAAAGTTGATCGTTATTCCAATTTATATGTATATATTAATATATTGTTTGGGCAAGCTAAATACATTGTAATTTGTTACAAATTTATGAAATGATAGTCATTTTTGTCTTTTGAAATTTTTGGGAAAATTATTCCCCTTGTCCAATTCCATAAAAAAAACGCAAAAGTCATGTGTCAAAAACAATAAAATTTCTGTTATATTTTAGCATTATAAATTCAAGAAGAGGATTATCAGAACGTCAACTTCTTGCTACATTAGAAGAAGATTGGTCTGATGTTGATGTCGATTCTGATGATGATGATACATTTTTATACCATCCCCATCTTCTTCTGTTTGCGGTAAGTTCGATGAAGATGTTATTGATAGCAGAATTTTGCAATTTCTTAATGAAGCTGATAAAACTGTTCCTTCTATATCTGTTGATGTAAATTCCACAACTGAAAGAGCATCTGAGAATGATCCACAAGAAAATCAAAGTATCTTGGTAGAACAGAGTCAGTGGTTACGCCAACTAACTTTACTGGACAATGGACCTCTGAAACAAACGTTCCAGAAATACTAAAATTTGAGATTGTTTTACAGTCAAATGTTCAATTCACCCATAGAAGCCAACCAATATTTTTTTTGAGAATTACTCCCTTGTGATTTAATATAACAAATTGTTGCCCAAACGAATGTATATACTGTACAAACAGACAGCAAAAATTACAAAAGCTATAGCCAAAAAGAAATACGGGTATTGCTAGGTGTTTTATTTTAATAAGACTGCACTCTTGACCAGATAAAGATTTTAATTGGTCAAGTGATCCTTTTTATAATAATCCTGTTATCTCCAAAGCTTTTACAATAACCAGGTTCAAAAAATGAATGGAAAGTATCCATCTAAATGACAATTCAACAGTTGCGATAGAGGTTCACCTAACTTTAATATACTGTATAAGATAAGACGATATATATATAGACTAAATGAAATTTTCAAAGAACAAGCTAATCCTGGAAGTCGATTTTCTATTGATGAATGTATGGTAAAATTTAAAGGACGTAGTTTTATCAAACAGTATATGACCAAGAAGCCAATTAAGCGTGGTTATAAAATTTGGGCAAAGTGTGATGCTATTACTGGGTATCTGTACCAGTTTATTATCTACACTGGAAAAACAGAAGGCATTGAAAATGATGTCTTGGGATACAAGGTTGTAAATATTTTTGAAAACTTTCTTATAAGTTGAAAACTGTTGGAAGATTTATATGCTAAGCAGCTGTATGCTATGGGTACAGTCAGACTTAATCGCAAAGGTTTACCTGATTTCATGATAAAAAAGCAAACCAAAAATTAAAAAAAAAAACAAAAGAATGAATTCTATTGTCTGAGCAGTTGCTCTACGGCAATAAAGTTGTTGCAATAAACGTACACAAAGAGATGGCACAACAAAAGATATAATGTACCTAAAAGATAATCCAGATTGTACACAAAGATGGGAGGTGTAGGTGACTTTCACCACTTTAGGGCATCATAACCCATAAGTAGGTAGTCTAGAAAATCGTGGATGAGATTGTTCTTCTTTCTTTTAGATGCAAGTGCGATTAATGCATATATAATGTACAATAAATAAATAATTAGGTTAATTAATTTTCCACCTACAAACATTTTTTAAGAATCAACAGGAAAGTAGTTTCCACCACTTTTTTCTTATTTTATTTTTCCAATTATTTTGTATTTCAACAAAAATATGTTTTATTTGTGTCCTTCAGATACCAAAAGTATATAAACAAACAAATTTCTTCTGATATCATGTCTTATTAAGAGTTAACCGTGTAATAGGCGAAACGGACACCTACAGTACTACCTTAGCATTTGTAAATTTGTAATGGTTAAATTATAGTGAGTAGCTGTAATAAATGGGCGCTACCATTTATGTGTTTTATATTTTTATTGTTTTAAACCAACTTTACATACTTTATTACGAGTATATTGTGCTTGTCTAAAGTCTGCTCCCCCTCATATCTTTTGAAAGATTATACTTATAATAGTGAAATTTGGAGGGAAGAAATAAACGGACGTAGGCTTCTCAACTAGTCATAACAGCTGACGTAATAGTCATAGATGACGTTATAGAAACACTGTGACCGATAATTTTAAACGGGACCTTATGGCAAATGATATCTCGTTTGAAAGGTATTGAAAATACGAACATATACTAGTTTTGGCCAATATTCTTACTATTTTCTTACTTTTTTCTTCTAGAACTTGGTATATAAATAATTAATCCACTTAACCATGGGAGCGGATTAAGTCCAAATATGGATGTTTTTCGTCTACGTCCAAATATACATAGAGAAAAGACAGAGTACATTTTTAATGGTGATATTCGTAAAATTATTCTACTTACCCCACTTATAGATTTCTGAATATTTAGTTGTGAAGCTAACCGCTTTCCTTCGTCTTTTCCGCAGACCCTTTCTAGCTCTGATTTGTTAAAATCGAATATTTGATGACCGCTAACACCTTTAAACTTGTTTCTGATATTTTCGTTAAATCCTTTAGCATCCAACCATTCTTGTATCTAAAACCAAGAAAAATTATTAATTACAAGTTAAATATTGTGTTATTCAAGTCCATTCAAAATATTTTTAGAAAAGCCAAACTCAGCAAGGTACAAATACTTGCGTGTATGGGGATAACTGGTGTCATGCGTACTATTCCAACAGCAGCTATGGAAGCTCTACTAGACCTGCCTGGAGCACCACAAGGACTGTGGTGAAGGAAATTTTTAATGACAAACCACATGACAAAAAATACAATTTTAAAAATTCATATAGAATGTCTATTCCGGACAAAAATTTATGGAGAGACAAGAAGTAGCATAACCAACAGGGTAAGATCTGGTATACAGTGGGATTCAAAACTACAGAGGATGTGGAGGCAGGAATATATTCCAATAATTCAAGAATTAGCGAAAGCTTTGGCTTGGAGAGGAACTGCACCGTTTTTCAAGCGGAGATTTATGAGATAACGAAATGTACAAAGGGAAGTAATGAGAGAGGTCTTGAAAAAGAGCAGATCCATATATTGTCTGAAAGTCAAATGGAACGCGGCACTGGAACAATGGAACACAACGTAGGTTGATGTGGGACTGCATCAAAGAACTTAATAAACTGCCGGGCATGCACCAGTAAGAGAATTGCTGAATAAAAAAGGCATTTACAATATAGACCTTAACTGCACACTCTGTGATAGGAAATTGTAAAACATGTATTATGTACATGCATTATGCGATTGCATAAATTAAGTCAAAAATAAGATGTGGAATAAAGTCTTCGATAACGTAGAAAATTTTATGGGTATCGCAAGTCAAGAAACCTGGAAAACAATTAGAGGTAAAACAAATAGAAAAGAACACAGTAGGTTAACCCTAATATATCCAAAATTATATATTGAATAACAAATGCTGACAAAAGATTGAGTAGAATGACAGGATATTTGTTACGAAAAATATGATATTTCTACCGCGAAGAAACAAATAATACCAGAAGAAATTAAAATATACGCCAAAGTTATGCAAAATGAGCAGACTCCTGGACCAGATTGACATGGGGAGCAGATATGGAACTGATTAAATATGGCCCTGACAAAATATTTTAGATTTTCGCTTATACCTTTAATCTATTCTTGAGAGGTGAAAAGCTAAAGCTACCCCCAATCTATTAAAAGAAGGCGACAAAAAGGATTGCAAGAACTACCGAGAGCCTTGTGTAACCCACTTAATTTGTAGAATGTACAGCAAGATAGCCGAATTAAAGATTGTTAAGAAGACGTTGAAACGACTTTCTTACTGGTCGTTCTTCTATAGACAATGTGTTCTGTCCTAAACAAACAAGAGAAAAGTGCTTGGAGCACAGTATGGAGACACACATGATATTTATTGATTTTCAAAAGGCGCTGTATTTTGATACTCCCATTTGCAAAGTTATTGTTTGCAGGTGCTAGAAGACAAGAAAATTTTACCGATTTACATTAATGCTGGAAGAAAGTTGTATGACGATATGACGAGTTCAATGAATATTGGATAAAAAGAGACAAAAAAGGTGAAGGTAACCAAAGGACTTCGTTAAGGTTGCTGCATTATACCTACGCTCTTTAAGATTTATTTTAAGGAGGTTTTTGATATTTGGAAAAGAAAATGTGAACCTATGGGTGTTAAAATTGGAGATCATAAACAGTACAGCTTGCATTTTGCGTAAGTATGTATCCACTACATATTGCGAAAAATATATGAAGAATATGCTGAGTGGAGGTTATCAAATAATCCATCAAAAGCAGAATATGTAGTAATGAGAAGTGAAGGAAGGCACACAAAAAGAAAATATTCATAGCTATAAATATGTTGGTGTAAGCATTACAAACGATGGTCGGAATACAAAAGAAATAGCTACCAAAATTGATCAATATAATTTACAATACGTCAACTGAATAGTGTACTCTGGTATAACCACATCACTTGAAACATAAAAATTGGGTTATATAAAAGTATCATAGAAAGTATTGCTAGATATGGTTTGGAGATTTGGGTAATAAATAAAAATGACACATCCAAAATAAAAGCAATGGAAAATGGGAATTATTAGCGTAGATGTTGCTACATCACTAGAAGGGATATTAGAATGCATGTATTGATTACCTTGCATAAATATTTGTACACGATAAAACTTTATTCAAAATGTAGGCAGTTTTAACGCACAAGTGATAAAAACAACAACAAATCGACGATTCAGGGTATTGTTTTCACTGGGTTTGAGCGCAATAAATAGAATACTTTGTATTTATATATAAAAATGAATAAAACGTGCAACCACCATTCGATAACCAAGTCAAATCGATAGTCCATCGACTAATGTCCTCGAAAAACCATCTAAAATTACCAAAGACATCTGAATTACTTGGCAACATGGCTTAGCGGCTTTAGCTATGTTTCTAATTGTAGATTTAAAATGGGAATGCATGACGTATGAAGAAAAGCATTACTTTAATAAAGACCCGAAAAGCTTGGAACTCTGAGCGAATGTAGACTTGGTAAGGTATAGGAGCACTGCGGTGCATGATATCATTTTGCCTCGACTCGAGAAGATAGAATAAACGTGGAGAGAAGAGATGGAGCAGAAATCTGGAAATTCTGTTGGTAAAGAACCATTATGACCATAGAAATGTTTGGTATTTGGAGAAAATCGTTACCTTAACGACGACCCAGAAAGCTGTGACCTCTGAGGGATTATAGGCCTGTTTTTATACGGTATAGGCGCACTACAGACAAATCTTAAGCACAGTAAGACATATTCTACTGTACTTACTGTTACTACAAGAAGGTTTGCCTTAATAAATAAAGGGCTTTGTGCTGTTAGAACCAAATAAAAGGTCTATGAGGTATTGTCGTAGAGCTTATATATAGCAGATATTATGCTGAAGGACCAAGTATAATACTTGATGTGCAATAAGCTAATTGGCTGCAGTACGACTGATAGATGGCTTTTAAAGAAGAAAAAAACCTTGGGAAATAGTCAGTAACGATTATTATCTAGCTACCCGTGCGTTTGATGGAAAAAATTGCATAAAGACGTAAAAAACAAAGAAAAAATGAAGAATATTATAAAAATAACAGTAGTAAATTAAATGTATCTTTAATCGCTTCTGCATTCACCGATTCTTCATATCTATTATCAGCAACTACTGCTTTTTGAAGATCTCAAGTGAGTACTCTAGAAACTTTGAAATCAATTTATTGTACTAGAAGAGGATTATGTAAATGGATAAGCTTTAAGTTCTGAATAAAAATTGTTAGTTGATAATATTTAAAAAATAATAATAATTTTTTTAATAGTAGACATAAACTTACCTCAGTTGGATTAGATCTCTGATCGATGAAAGTTTCTGGTGTTTGTTTGATTTCTAAATGCCTTTGCTTATTTTTCTCCCGGACTAAAGTTAACACGCTGATTAGCTCTTCTTGTAAGTCTCCATTTGACTTTGTGGACATTAGCGACTGCCTGGACTGAGTTCTCTTTAAAGGTTGTGGAGTTACAGGTTGGCTGGGTGGTTCAGGTGCTGGTGGGGGTGGAGGAGGAGGGGGAGGAGTATTTTGGACCTCTAAAGAAATAATACCATGAGTATAGATATCTAGTTTGTATAAAAATGGACCCAAAAGCTGATTTGACAAACACAAGCGTATGCAGTATTTTTGCAAAAAAAATCGGAGCATGAAAAGCATCAATGAACCACAGTGAAAAAATATTTTGTCTCAATTAATTTTGCTTATACTACAAATGAGTATCCTTATTGTTAAGCACCACCCATTAACTGCGATATTTAGCGTGCTTATGAAGAACTGTGAAAAACAGTACTTAACTTACTATTTTGCTTCTTGTTTTAACCATAATTATGAAAAAAATGTGGGGATAGATGAAAATAAGATAAAAAAGAAAAAATATCCACTGTTTTGAGAAAAAAGACTGTGGGAAGTCAGTAAAAAAATAATTAAAGAAGTGAAAGGATAGCGAATAACTAAAAAAGCAAAGAAATTAAAGAAATAAGACAATAGTAATTTGTAAATGGTTGAAATTATCAGTGGGCACTAGATTAATAATTGAATTAAAAAAATTATTAGGGACGAAGTAGGTATATCAAAAACTTTCTCTTTTGGGAATTGATTTCGTAAAAGGGGAGGGGATCGACTATAATACCGAATGCCGTACGAATAAATATGAAAATTTTGAGATGGTTTTTGAATTTTATATTAGAAATAGTGAAAAAGTAAAGTTAATGAGTTGTGATGATTGAGTAGTTTAATTGAAAATTAAAAGACATGCATAAAACATAGACGTTGTGTGAAACAAATTTTTAAAAACACAGTACGGAATAATTGTAAGGAATAATTCTTGTCACGCAGATAAAATTTTTAAACTACAAAAAAGAGTAGTGAGGATCAAGAGCAGAGTATAGATGGCAGTGTAAACCTTTATTTCTGGATTTAGGTATTATGCCATTACTTTCACTCTAGATATATGAGACAATGCTAAGCTATCGACAATGAGTTTTTGGTATATTTTACCTTTTTATAGTATTTTTCTTAATGTTATTGTTTAGTTCGACAATGTAACACTCTTATTTATACATGGATCGTTGAATCATGCTTTAGTTGAAACAATAATGATAGTCTTTAATACAACCGTAGGCAATTGTTGTGTGCACGTATATTCAAGTGCTTTGATTCTTAAATCCGGTCCTGATGCGCCGCTCGGGGCAAACCGGCAACGTGGTGGGCCATTCTTCCGTAAGAAATACATTGCCTATCTTACCTGCACCGCATTTTAACTGTAGCTTATACTCATGATACTATGAACTAAAGATAAACCCACGCGCACGCGATCAGTCGTGTGACGTCACTTGGCGACAAATGCCACCAGAAATGTTCTGTGTTGTATGGTGTTTTGTCTTTGTCAGATTTAGTTATCGTTTATCTTGTACGTTGACATCGGTTTGCTGGGTAAACCATCTTTCCGAAGGAGGTTTACTTAAACCATATCCAGATATTCTAATTAAATGTAATAAACTGGACAATATTTTTAACAATTTTAACAAAGGGTCATTAAAATTAACCAAGAATTATTTAAAAGTTAAGAAGAAGAAAATATTATAAATTGTTAAATAAACTGTAAATTATTACAGTGTACTTTATTTTATCAGTTGTATTAAATTTTTAATTTAATAAATCAATCCATTGTATATAAATTTCCATTTCCAAAAGGATGTTAGTTCCTACTTTTTTATATAATTTTATTATCTATTTAAATTCTATTAATTTACATTGCTAGGCTAACAGAGATGTATACATAACATATTTTTAAGTTTTAATTGCAGATATGTTACCTAACATCCCTTAATATTCTAAATATTTAAATAAAAACCCTTTCTTTCCATATATGTTTTATCGACTGTGATGATAAAAGGTTGGCGATAAAAGTGGAACTTTTATCACCAAGTGACGTCATGCGCGTCGACGTACAAAGTGGGTTTATCTTGAAAGTCTTAGTATCATGGCTTCTACTATAATTTGGTCGGGGTATTTACCTATTATGATAATATTTCATGTTTTTATATTTTTATTTAGTGTGTTTGTCGTTTTTTAAATTGTTAGTAATAAATATCTGTTTTTAATATTTAAATTGGGACAAATTTTACTTAATTTTTATAATTTATGTATCTAATATTTGTCACTATTTCTTTGACTTATCAAAATACAAACTATTTTTGTATATTGACCAGATCAATTCTATTCTAATAGGATCTTAAACTAAATATGGAGTACTACTTAATTAAAGATGAATCGAAATATAAATTCATATCTTAGTCATAGTATAGTCATTGTACTTTTTGTTCTTTTTGTAGTAGGGTCAAGTGGGGCAATTATGAGACATTATTTAAATCTTTTGATTTTTGATGCCTAAACGGCACTACAATTAAAAGCAAAAAACATGGTTATGTGCAAAAATATATACAGAACCAAAGTATAAACTTGTTTAAAAATATGACATTTATATGTCTCATTTTTCACTATTTGTAAAGTACAATTGTGAGACAACCTCTATGCAAATTTGAGACATATTTAAAAGCTGCCTGAAGTCAGTAAAATTGGGTTTGGGAGAAAATAAAATGGCATGGTACAAAAAGGATAAAAAAGCTATCTTAGAAAACTTAAGAACAAAACTGCAAAAACTGCATAAGTAGCAATTATCTCACAACAGCACTAATTTTACAATAGCTTCACCAAAATACTCTAACTATTATGTCTTACACATAATACTAGAGAGAATAAAAACTTCTTTAGTAACAAATTTTTTTCCAGCTGAGGAAAATAGCTGAGATGCGCTGTCCTGAGTTTTTGCATTCGGTTAGGAAACCATGTTGGGGTTCTATTACCCAGGACCTCCACATGAAGAGCACTTGGCTGATTGGGGTGCCTCTATAGCGAATCAGATTGCTATAGGGGGGAAAGAAATGGTCTAGAGCATTGGAGCACGGTGGGGTGACTCCTGTTTTTACTCGAGTTAACACACCTTGCTCCAATGAATTGTTACACCCGATCGTACTACCTGGGTGAACATTTCTCATAGGCTGGGTTCAATCAAATTGCTTGCTTGTTTACCTTATGTGTCCGGCTAAGTCCGAACTGTCCAACTCAACTGTCGCGTTCAGTGAATATAGCCTCAGAGGCCACCAACGCGAGTCGCGCTGTCTGACTATATGACAAGATATGAACGTTATCTCAGCGGATTTTCCACAAATTACAACAAATATCTGCTGGCCGCTTGGAAACACTGGCATATACTGGAGTTTGTGTTTGGTTTTCGAATTTTGATGGTAAACTTTATTCTGAGTATATATGACAATGTATGAATGTTATCTTGGCGGATTTTTCACAAATTATAACAAATATCTTCTGTCCCATTAATAAATTGGAAAAATATGAAACCCCTTAATTTCATTGCTTACTTCTTAAATATTCAAGCTAGACGTGCTCGAAAACGATAAAATTAGCTGTAATAAAAGGTTGTGAAGTAATAAACGTAAAAGCATCGGTAAGCTTTGAAAGAATCACCAGATGTATTTAGATTATATTGCATTTCCAATAATTTGTTGTATTATCATAATCCAATCCCGTCGGTTTGTTTTGCTATGCATTCAGTAATATTTTCTACGCCTTCGGTGTTGGATGTTTTTTGGTTTTACTGTTAGTCATTGCACGTGTTTTGCTAAATACTTCAATTTTAAATTATTTTTAAAATGAGTGATGAATATTGCCAACCTTCGACTTCTAAACGAGGTAGGTGGGAAACTTTTCAGCCAATCTCAGATGATGAATTATTACACATATTAGAAGATTCACATGACGATAGTGATGCAAGTGATAAAGATTTATATTGTGATGAAGATGATCGGACAGAGGATCCTGATTTACAAGAAGAATCTGAAGATGATGATGGTAAATGATGAGTCTCTAAATATTATTGAAGGGTCTTCAGAGGTTCAACGTCCTACAGTGCTACCATTTACAGCAATACCAGGATTGAAAATTAATGTGGGTGGCAGCAATCCTATTGATTACATCAATTTATTGGCATGCGAATTATTCTATGACCTGATTATTCAAAATAGCAATTTATATGCCGTTGATATTCTTTCTCTAAGTAAATCTGAGAAAAGTAGAATTGCAGCTTGTTAGGATATAACTGTAGAAGAATTTAAAATTTTTCTTGGTTTGATGTTTCACATGGGAACCATAAAAATTAATCGTATGAATGATTATTGGAAGAAAAATCATTTATTTAGTATTTCAATGTTTGGACAATACATGAGCCAAAATTGCTTTAGTTAATTTTGCGTGCCTTACATTTTAACTATAATAGTGACAATAACCAGTCCAGACTTGCCAAGATATCTCCATTGTTCAATTTTTTTAATAATAAAATGAAGAATTTTTATTATTTAGAAAGAAAATTAGCCCTGGACGAATCTATGATTTTATGCGGAGGAAAACTCGTCAATTTCTCAAGGGCAAACGACACAAATATGTTGTCAAACTGTATACTTTGGCAGAATGTACCGGAATGATTCAGCGCATATTAGTTTATAGTGGAGCTAGTGACCCGTAGTTGGAGGACGTAATCATGCGGAAAAAGTAGTGCTAGATTTGATGGATTCGAAACTAAATGTTGGTCACTCCTTATATATGGATAATTTTTTAATAATGTTCTATTGTGTAAAAAACTACTTTTGGTTAAAACTTATCTTACAGGAATATCGAGAACAGGAAGAGCGGAAAATCCACACGAAGTTGTTTCTCGAAAATTAAAACAAAATGAACTGGTGAGTGCTTACATTAATAAAGGGATATGTATGTGTAACTGGAAAGATCAGCGAGATATTTTAATGACCTCTTCCGAATTTGGTTATTAAATGGTTCCAACAATATCTAGAAAAGGAATTGATAAAAAAGCCCTGTTTAGTGGCTGAATATAACAAAAATAAAGGTGGCATTTCTATAATAATTCTAATGCAAAAATGTCATTTTACGACTTTCGATTGTCGGT